TGAATTTCCTCAGGGAAATGAAAATTAGTGTCCATAGGTTTATGAATGCGGATCAAACGCCGGGACGCACACGCACTGCAGCACATGCTTTATTGCGAGCATGTGAGCATTTGTTTTAAAAGTCTGCCAGATTTTGGGATCGATCATACAACTCCCCCCCTAAGGCATCCCATGCTCTACCCACTGACCTAAACTTACACATGTGTATCCGAGGGCTTGAAATAATTTGACTGAAATTATGTTCTGGCCCACCATGTAACGGCTTGAAAAGAATTTGGCCTGATGTCAGACTTATTTGCTGACCCTTGCCCTACTGTGATTCTTGGTATCGCAGTTGTCTGATGAAGAATATAAATCTCGATCAACCAGTTCTTGAGGATGTATAGACTCTCACAAGTTAAACAAAAGTCTCTCTAAACTCTTAATAGAGTATGTACACACATTGTACATCTTCCCATCACAGCGCATGAAATATAAATGTGGTGTGCTATGTTTTTGGGTGCCCTGGGAAAAACCTCAACTTTATTTATTCACATCATCATTCTGTATTATTTGATCACTTCAGGGAAAATCCGGCAATCTTGACTCAGCTCTCAACTCAGTGGGAATCAGAGTCATGAGTAGAATTCAGTGTAGTAACTTAGGATGGGTTGGGTTTTCAATCTTTAAAAAGCAAATTATTCATCTTCTCAGGAAAACAATATTTCCCCTTGAGCTTTCATGAGTCTGTTTAGCATAATACTGTCAACTATAAGCAATGGTCTGTTTTTCAATAGCAAATCTTTATGAACTGATAGCTGCTCCAAACTGCTATCCGTACCCTCACTCAGTATGGACAATTGTAACTGTGAATGAACATAATGCAGGGTGTACTGTGGCGTGACTTTAAGAGAGGAAAGGGACTGTAATTTTGGGCCGGACACTGTAAAGCTCCATCAGTGCCAAGCGGGGCATGTCGTGATAAGTACATGCAGGTTTGTCTTTGATCAGAGCCAGGGAAGGGAAGGCTCAGTGTGAGAGGACTGCAGATAAGCCTGCCTCTCTCCAGACTAGTGTAATTACAGCCCTCTTCCTTTCTCTTCTTTTCTCTACTCTTACTGGCTCCCCTGTTTTCACTTCTTTTATATTTACTGTTTATCCCTGATATCAATTACATTTTCATGTGTCTATCCACAGGTGATCAGTGGGTCCAACCTACCTGTTCCCAGGGGTGGCAAAGCTCTGGACCCCTTTGTCAGAGTGGAGATTCATGGGATTGCATCTGACTCGCGCAGAAAAAACACACACACTGTCAAGAACAACTGTAAGTACTGCAAGACAAACTGTTCGTAGTCTTGTTAGGACATCTTAAGACACAGCTTTACTCTCAGCTCTATTTATCAGATTTGGCTTTACTTATATCAATCCAAGACTTATTTTGTCAAACTTAACTTTGAGACGAGAGTCAGCTGAAAGTTTTTAACATACAACATTTTCTAAAACTTACGAATGACGAAAAAGATTAATTTCTGAAATCTTATCAGAGGTTATATGAGTTTTGTTCTCTCTCAATTTGGACACTGTGACGTTGTCTGATCCTTGCATTAAATTGTTTTGGCAACAGCCAAATACTGTAGAACAATGACTCTATATGTATCAAAAGTAAGACTGAAAGGCAGTTCTTACACACAGGTGTCCGAAATACTAACACTGGTTGCTTAATATGCTGATGTTGAGCCAGTATAATGTTAACGATGTTTACCATCTTACTTTAGCATGTTAGCATGCTAAGATTTGCAAATATAACCGCAAATACCAACCTCATAGTGGCACTAAAGGGGATCAAAGTCAGCAGTCATCGACTGAAAACCATGAACATCTGTTCTGTAACTGCATAGGCCTAATATGGGGCAATGTAAACCAAGTTTTTTATGAGAGGGGTATTTCCGGTGGTTTCTGTTTTATTTTCTCTTCCTTTTGAATGCATTTACAGTAAACTAATGTTGGACTTCTGAGGAGAAATGTGCTGATGAGTTTCTTCAAAATATAGAAGTGGATTTCCTTTGAAGAGAAGTCTGTCATGCACTATTGCCATGACTGGAAACATGGATCTGTCACTTCACACAGGATGAAGTGCTACAGTGACTTTAAGCAGCAGTTGGATCCTCACACATTCACAGAACTTCATAAGTATCACAGTACCATATTACCAACATTCATAATGACTAGTGCTAGTTTATTATTGCTATAATGGTAGATATGAAAACGCCTGTTTGGATCTTAAATTTACTGCCTGTAAATTTCATCAGACTTGTGTTGAAATCAACCCTACAGCTATGAGGTTTTTGACTTCAGATTGCACCACAGAACATACAGATTTGATTTTAAGCGTTCATTTTGTTAAATGGGAACATGTAAATTAACTAAATATCAAGACATAACGTTGATGAAATACAACACTGAATTGCAGCTTCTGAGATGAAACAAAGAGGCAGAGAAGGAGAGACAGAGGGTGGGAGAGATATCATGAGTCCTGGAGGGCACAGAGCACTCATGCATGGACATAAATCACAAAATTGTTTCACACTATGAAACAGATAGGGTCAATGGTGAATACAAATGAATGTGGATTTAGATTAAAACTTGGATGTAACAGAGGAACTTGAGAAAATTGTATTGAATCAGAAATGGATTGAGAATTACAGCAGAGATAACTCATTAGTTTTCTATGTGTGTTCTCCTCATTTTCACTGTAAAATTGTATCCAAAATAAGATTCAGTTTTGTGAAACTGAAATATCTCAACAACAAAACGTCTTCGAGTATCTTCAACCAGTCCAGTTGCCCATGATTTTAACCTTCCTTGGATAACTATGACCTTGATGACTGAGAACCTTCACAGACAATGAATTAAGATGACATTTACAGACTTTTGTTGATTCCCTATTGGTTTCTTACTCTTAAGCTGATGATACACAGAGCAACTTTTTGAGAAATCATGCAGGGCAACGTTGCCGTCAATGGTAATGAGTAAAGATTACTACCGTAATCCCCTTCCCCCATCACTCCGCCACCTGCCCCGCACCGCCGCTATCCGTTCAAAACATAGTCGGGCTTGCTACTGGCAAGATTACCCAGCAACATTGCTCAAAAAGTTGCCCCGTGTATCATCAGCTTTCTTTGTGTCCTCTGCTGTGAGGGTCCTTTGGCTTCAGAGCACTGTCACTAAAGAAGATCTTTGACTGTGATACTTTAAATATGAGAGCCTCATCAGCATCATCTTGATTATGACATCACAAAAAAAATCTTGCAATCTTGCAGTGGCATGGGGTGGGGTAGCCAAGTAAGAGGGGATGTCCTTTTTGGAGGGCAATTATCTAATGTATTGTGCTATTACAGTGCATGGTACAATTTTACACAAAATTTAATTGTACTTTAGTAATTTGACCCATTGTTTATATAAATAAAATATTTTAGAGGCTTTAGCTAAACCTATTAATGCTTATTGCTTCTAATCAGCTGGTTCATTCTGATTACCAATACAGCTCTGAGTCCTCACTGGGATGCTGACATGAACTTCAGCATCAGCTTAACTGAGATCTGCCTCATCCGCTTCTGTGTCCGAGACCAGACTGGGCTCCTCAGCAGTGATTTTGTGGGCCAGTACACCCTGCCCTTCACCAGCCTGAAGAAAGGTGAAATAGTAAAAAGGGGCAGGGTTTTGGGAGTCAGATAAAGAGCTAAATTACATCAGGTGACATTGTGCAACCATCATTGTATTTCCCTTCAGTTAACACTGTCATCATTACTTAAGGTTGGTCTCTGAAGTTTTTAATGGAAATGCTTCCGCATATATATATATATATGGTGCTCATGTATTTAGCAACTATACATACATTTCTTTTCACAACCCCCTTCCTTCTCCACCTCCAGGCTACCGCTGGGTGCCTCTACGGTCCCGAGATGGATGCAGCCTGGATCCAGCCTCCCTCTTTGTCTTTGTTTGGTATTCCTAAAAACAGCTCTCCGTATCAGACTCACACACACACGCCTCACCAACAGATAGAGAAGCGTGGCTGATGCGGCAACAACAACAACAAAAATATATAAATAAATCAAAAGCACCATTTCCTCAGATATAAATACCAGTTTTATTGTCAGAAAATAGATGTGCCTTTTCCCTACTGCCTGCACTGTATGCTACAGAGGAAAAGACCAGAAGGTTCCAGTAGGGCTGAAAAGACACTAACGAAGAACAACTCGCATCACTCAAGCAGGGGAGAAATGCCTGGAGTAGAATATTATATTCTTATCATAGAATCAATAATTGACGCAAGTGCTATGATTGTGTCAGAGTTAAACACACAAGAGGATCTTACCCCACCACAAAAGACAGTGTTGTTTTTGGATTAATCATCTATTCCAATATGATAGATGTCATTCTTCTATTAGGTCTGAAACTGATTAATGATTAATACTCCATGAATGCTACTATGAAAGAGTAGAAGCCAGCATTTTCTTTCGAGACCCAGTCAGAATAATATAAATAGCATTTACAGAGGTATACATTATTAAACCAAATCCAGTTCGGGGCAGTCTATTTCTATCCTCGTTCATCACTAAATCCTGTGAATGAGGCAGAGGAGAGTATGGGTCAGCGGGCCTGTCAGGAGGAGGATGGCATTAAGATAACATGAAGACCTGCCTTGGCCTGGAAAGAGCATGTGAGCGTGTGAGTATTTGTGTAGGTTCTTTTTCAGGGGTATTTGTATGGGCATGCGAATGTCTCCCATTGCATGTTTGTGTATGCATGTGCATAACTGTGTTTGAATGCTGCTGATGGATAAGACAACGGATGGAGTGAGGGGGAGAGTGTTAACTCTGCCCCTCAGGCCAGAGAGTTGTCATCCTGCTCACACACACTCCCCTCACCCCTCTCCCAGCTCCCTCCTGTCTCCCACCTCCAATTCCACTGGTCAAGGACATCCAGTTGACACAGCCCAAAGGGACAAACACACTCAGTCTGGGCAGGTATCAGGCAGGCAGCTCCTAACAGAACCGCATCACCTCCTCTTTAATCTGTCACATCGGCAGTCGCCACACACATTTTGACGGTTTTGACTCAGTGAAAAAAAAATAACAATGTTAAAGTACAAATTAAAGTGCAAGTATAATAATAAATGGAATAATTTCTTTCCTTCATCCATTTCCAAAGCCACATCCAAAAACTAACTAATTAGCAAATGTCCTTCATTTTATTTACATTTAAAAAAATAAACACACAGTAAACAGTCTCTTTCCCTGATTCTTTCACTCACTTGTAACTTCATCCAAATACCCCATTCACTTGCAGTATTTATCTCTGGAGTGAGGTTAAGTATAAATGAGAGGGGACAGTTCCTCTGCTCAGGCAACTTTTTCCTCACTTAGTCAGTCTTCGAAATCTTTGGATTAATTCTTTTCCTCAATGTGGAGGCTCCCCCTGTTGGCCACAGGACTACAGTGCAGCTCTGAGGTCAGATTGTACAGTTCCCAAGGGGAAACCAGGTCTCCTTGTCAAGCAACTCCTCATCCAGTTTAATGTTTGTTGCAGCCACGAAAGTCTTCTTGCTCTTCACTGTCACTTCCAGCACCATCCCATATATCAGTGGGACATCATTGTACTCCAGCTGTGAATAAGAGGCAGATATTTTAGTCAAACAGCTCTACATTCAGAACATCTAGTAATTTGAGGATACTTCTGCAGTACAGATTTTATCAGAACAGGGACTTTACTCTTTTGTTTCCTTCTATTTGGCTCAGATAAGGCTCCACTTTGCAACATAAAAGCTAGTAAGAGGCTGTATGTGGAAAGCAACTGATCAGAGTGCAGGGTGATCAGAGTGCAGAGTTCAATACTCAAAAGACATCAGATTCAGCAAGGAGAACAGTGCCAGTTTCCACAGTGCTCTACACATTATAGTGTATTATATAGGAGGAGGGAGGGGGGTCCTTATTCTAATCAAGGTACAATGTACAATGCAATTGTTTCATTTTTATTTAATGTTTCAGTTTGGAACTTGCTGCATTTGCTAATTGATTTACATGTACTGGCCCATTATCAAAGGATTAAAGCGTTACTTTCTTAAACCTGCCCAATAATCTCATGGAAAAATCACTGGATGCTGTGACTGCTAAATCATGGATGGAGGATAGGAAGGATGAAAGTTGTACCAGTTCATTGAAGGTGGGGTTGTCATTATTTCGGACCACCTTTGTCTTCTTTTTAGATCGCTGCTGAGGGTCTGGCCTCAGACATGTGACCACGTAGGCGTCAGGGTTGGAGCCGTTTGCCTGCTTCTGTTGAAAAGAGAAAAGGGGCCAGAAGGGACAACCAGCTCTTGAGCACTCACCATGAAGTATCTTTAAGAGAGAGCACATATAGTAAGTGTGCCTCTTCCCTTGTTAAATGCTACAAACAATGCAATAATAAGAGTGAAGGAAACTCACAATGTTCTTCAGGTGTTTTACCAAGACTGAGAGCTTACAGTCAGAGTAGGAAATGCAGAGCTGGATCTGAGGACAGGCTCCTGCAATAGATCAGCGCATCAGCGCCAGTAAGTCACAGCATAATATGTCTTGTACTGTATGTGGACTATCATCAGTTTCCTGATATAGCACAGAATAAATCTTCACATTCTAAATATTGCCTTCTCTGTGACATTTTTTCCCTTATATTTAATCTTTTTTATACACCATATTTAAAAGCAGAACATTACCTGCCACCACACTGTCTTGGACTGTACTGGGTCCATCCAGGAACAAGCTGCACACATATTCATTCTGCAGAGTGAAGCGGGGTTTCCAGGTTAGAGCCAGGTATAACAAGACATCACAGAGAAATGAACCAGTGACAAGCGGAACTTACTCCCTTGCACGGTCCCTCAAAAAGCTGTTTTAGGTATTTATTCAGCAGAGACATCCTCCTGCTTGGGGTAAATGACAGCTTATACCAACTAGGAAACCTATAACGGAGAAGGAGTTAGGACTTGCATCTAATTTATGTCATTATTGTGAAAGAAAAAGCAGTGCTTCAAAATAAAAAGAGCCATGTGATATAAGATGGATGTGTACATGTTCTTCACTCACTGAGGCAGCTTGGATTCCACGAAGTATTTCTGCAGGTGCTTATGGATCAACTCAAACTGCCCATATGTCATCTCACTGTTCAGAAAACCATCATGAATGGTTACCCTCAGGTCATAAATCTACATATCACACAAAAACAAAGTGTTTCATTAGATTGAATAGTGAGTAAATGTTGATATCCCAGGATCCATGTTCAAGCTCCCAGGCAAGTATTCACGTTATTAAATGGTTTTATATTTATCATTTCGTTCACATTATTAAACAGCTGATTCCCAGTCCATGAGCGTCCTTTGGTAGGCCTGCACTAATAAAATCTCTTGGAAGAAGGCAGCTCAAGGGAGCATTTCACTTAAGTTTTTAAGGTCTGTTTGTCTTGAGTTAAGAACGTTAGATGTATACAATAAACTCAAACAGGGGGATAAGCCAGGAAAATATATCAATTTGTTTTTGGACCTCTGCAACCGTTCACCAATTTTGAAAACTAACCTCAGGTCTTAAGGCAATAATCTTCTCAAAGTGCCATTTTAGTCCTAAGTGCTGAGAATTCATGAACTTTACTCCTACTTTCAAACTTAAGTATAAAACCAAGTTATTTGTTAAATCTAAGAAGTACTGTTACTCTTCCAGTTATTTAAGACAGCTAGAGAGGTCTCTCAAGTGGTTAGGAGCTGCCAGTAGGGGCTTGTGATGGCACTGTTGAGACAGAGACAAATCTTTCAGGAGAGGAATATTATTTCTGAATTATATGATGACGCGCAGCATCGTTTGGACAAAGCAGGCATCATTTTTGTCCTTTTTTCCCCATTGTAATCCAACAGAAGCAATCACAATTCTTGAAAATAGCCGGCTTCCTAGGAGTAGCAGGTGCAATTACTGGCATTCACATAAAGATCAACGTTTTTATCTTTAATTTCCGATGTGTATATCATAATGCATTCGCTTGAAAATTCTTTATGGTCAGATGTGTGTTGAATGTAAACTCCTCTTAGGAATTTCAACATTCAATGTGAATGTATCTGAGAATATTCTAAAATAAGGAAATCTATTCAGTAATGGGTCCTTGCCTATGTTGTCATCCAAATTTCAGTGTGCGGTACAGCAAAGTGTCGTAAAGCAGCTCTAAGACTGACACTTAAAAGTTAGTTATAAAGCATCTCAGTCCTAATTAAGTGAAGTGAGGTGTAGGAATAAATCTTAAGCACAGCTTTGAGCCAAGAATGTTTTTACTCTTCAGTCAATTCTTAGCAGTGTTCTTGCGAGAAATTCTGAGAAGCTTGATAAATACAGGCTATGATCTTTTACAGTGCCTTCTATAATACATTTATTCATTTAGCTGACCCTTTTATCCAAAGCGACTTACAATAGTGTGATTAATAGAAATCAATCTTAACCCAGTAACTTCTTTGACGTAGTTTTACTGTTAAATACTGTACTTCTGATATTTTTGGGAAACCTTTTTATTTATACTACCTTTATGTAAATACCTGAATGCAAGATACTTGTCATTGCCACCAATTCCATTACAGGATGAATCTGAGTCCCTGGCAATTCTCCGTGCATTTGACTGACAAAGCACTATCTCTGTCTCAGAGCATCTAACCTGACATCAGGAAGTCTTTTCTGATCAAAGAGCAGTGAAATACCAACAAACACCAATAACAATCCTCACTTGACTCTGGAGAGTGAGGGAAAGACTTTCTAAAATACAGCACTGCTGCCTAGGAGGCCACAAGTGACAGCGGACTCAACACACACACTGTCAAGCTGAGTGCCACAGGTTATTCCTCGCAGAAAAAAAATGTGTGAACCTGTTGTCAGTTCCAGGTGTTTCATGAACTCCCCTGGCAATTAGGATGTTACACAAAGCTCTGTGGTGCATCGGGCAAATTTCATTATAACAATGAGGCCAATATTTTCTGTCTGAATTACCACAGCACAAAGAGCAACATGGAGCCTCACCACATCTTTTCCTTTGATGTTGTAGCTCAGGATGACAGCTTCTTGGATGTTGGTGCTGGGAGCGGGGATCTCGTCCTGGGTTAGTGATTGTGGTCTCTTCCCCATAGCCATGCTATGTGTAAAGAAGTTAAACTTGACTGCAAAACAGCCCATGCTTTCCTTGATCTTCCTACATCAGGAGGGATACAAACAGTTACTTGAGCTGAAAAGAACTTGTTCAGTTAGACAGACAGACTGACTGTGTGTTGCGCATTAAATCACTTTGTAAAGTAAGATGTGGCCTCCAGGTCTGTGTCATGGGGTCTGAGGTTGTTCTGGACATACTGCAGGTCATTTGAGTCCTTCAGTTCAGGCATTCCTGCTTGTAGCATCTGGAAACCACATGCACACCATGACTGAAAAGATGTTTTATGTCATATCATCATATGGCTATGAGCTATGGATGTTAGGGTGGCGGTGTTATTCAGTAAAGGTCTAACCAGCTCCAACAAGCTGAGTATCAGTGCAGAGCGCTTTCTGATTATGTTGTAAGCTTCACAGCAGAGCTCCACAAAGCGATGCAAGCGCTGAGGCTTCTGTCCCCCGCCTGTGATGAAGTGCTGCATCTCAGATGTAAAGATGAATGGTGATCGGTCCCTGTCGTTGCAAAAGAGAGTGGGGAAAGGTTCTTATTAATTCACATCATCGTATTTGACTTTATACTTTCCTGTACTTCCTCGCAGCTCAAACATAAATACCACTCTTTCACTTTCAAATGCTGCTTGCCTTTTTACCAACTTGCCTTTTAAAGCTTCCAAACTTCTGTGCATTGCCCATAATCTTGCCAAAGTCGATGTGAAACATGTGTCCACTGTGTTTCAACATGATGTTGTCATTGTGGCGATCACAGATACCTAAGATGAAGGTGGCCACACACCACCCTGCACATGAGTGGATGAAGTTCATCACAGCCTGCACATACACAGTCGAAGAGCAACAAAAACACGAAAGCAAAAATTAATATTCACGTTTATGGGCAAGCATAATGGTTAAGGTATCAAAGATTTTCTAGAGGTCTTAACCTTCTCATAGTCCTCCTTAGTTTTGTTCCACATGTGGAACCATTTCTCTAGTGTGTCTTCTCGAAGGGTGCCACCCAGACCCCACTCCTGATGAATATTCCCTAGCGTCACTGCCTCTGGAACCACTTCCACCAGGCCTAACAATGACATAGAATATATTTGGAAAAACATGAATTCATAGCCACAGAGATATGGAACAAGGGAACTATTAATGTACGTTCAAAAACACAAACAAATAAATAAACTGACCCTGAGCTTTGCCAGTAGATAGACACCTGTAGGTGATCATTTGCAGGTCCAGCCCCTCCTGGAGCCAAACCATGTCCATCACACGGACTATCTGAAGAACCAGCATGTCCTGACACAGGTTATCTCCTGTCTGAACAACATATTTAACAGAGTTAAACTTAAATAACAAATGTTTACCAAAAATCTTTTTGACTCAGCTAGACAGCCCAAGCGCCATGTCACAAGCATCTATCCTCTTTGTGCTGAGCTGTTTGTGCAAGCTGTTCTATAGCTGGGGTTTCCCCTCGATGGAGTCAGGGAAAAAGACAATGGGCCTTATGCAAGAACTACTCGTATAAACAGATTTCCTAGGTGGTCAGTAATTTTCTCCTTCCTAATTTTGTCTGAGGTGCAAACGGAATCCTTAGAGTAATCCAGACCTGTCGTACAAGTCATGCACAGATGTACTCATCGTCACAGGGTGTGAACACACTGGTTTGATGCACTTATTATGCCTTAATCTGAATGAATTTTGTGTTTAAATATAAAACTGAAATGAATGTAATATATAAACAAAGTTAATGCAACATTTATATTTTGTGCACCATATCATCATCATGGCATGACAATTTTAGGATTTAAGATTTTATGATTTTTATTGATATGTTTTGTCTCAGCAATTCATACATTTCCGTCGCAGTTCAGTGAGTATCACCCTGTTGCGCTGTGTACATCTATATATCAGTGACGGTCACATGAACAGTTCTCATATTAGTCATTAGCATGTAGATTCATCACAGTAAAGCGCTGCACTGATCACATTGTTTGCAGCTCTAATAATATTATTTTCTATTACTTAGAAAATACTCTAAGGTCTTGTAATATGACTACTGTCACTGCTAAATGTGTTGTTTTCCTCTGCTGACTTCTGACAGCAGGATTAGAAGCTCCACGGTGTGAAAGTCTTCTTTTTACTCTTTGGTAATAATAATGAATAAAACCTGCCTACACAATTATCTGTACTGGTAGCCTGATATAGCCTTTTTAGGTGCACTGATTAAACTAATGATAAAAGTCTCACATTCATCAGGCTGGAACAAGCAATTTATGACAAGTTTGTCCAGTTGAAAAGATTTTGGTGAATCTTTATTATTAATCATTACCAACCTTGCAGATGATGCTGACGTTCTTGGCCAGAGGATCAGAGCAGATGAAAGAGATCCCCAGAGGAGCAGCATTGGAGCTGTAGAACTTACAGGCCTGCGAGTAACATTAAAGGAATAAACACTTCTCCGAAATGTATAGAACTGTGTGCATTTCAGATTACAGTAATGATATAAGGTTGCTATCTGCTGTGTAACGTTCTTACACCCATGTCCAAGGCCTTTACACGGACTGCAGCATCCAGTGGCAGACAACAGCTGATCCCATCCCTGAAGAAGTGATCAATCTTCCACTTTTCTTTCTCCAAAACGCTCTGCAGAGGAATGCGTCAAATGAAAGAACAAAATTAAATGCATGATTTGCACAGTTAATCATAACAATGGAGGATTACGAGCCAGTGAATCAGTGACTAAGTGAATAAATAGGTAGATGAGAGATCCGTTTACAGACCTTGCGTCGAGCCTTTTCGGCAGTGCAAACACTCTCAGCCACCTCTACAAGCACAGACACCAGGCGGGTTTCGTTCTCCAGCTCCTGCCGCAGTTCCCGGCCACAACAATGCCACAGTGCAGCCTCAACCTTACTGAACCAACTCTGGTAGTAGGGGTCATTGTGGGCATCCTTCAGCAGCCTGCCAGCATGTAAAACAATAAATCCAATGTCATTGCAAACACTCAAACTCAAATTTTCATTTGTCAAACCTGTTTAGTCATAATTCTACTAAACCTGAATGAGATTTATTTTTATGCAGTCATTATGTAATCAACATTTTCAGGCAAATGAAACAAACAGTGTTAGTATTAATCCACAAGTATTAATCCACAACTACATTCCCTCAGTTTGTTGTCTGACTCTGCTGCTTACCAGTAGAGTTGCTGGGCAATCCGTATGTTCTTCAGTGACCTCTCCAACAGCAGCATCACCAGAGGTCCATTCAGTTCCCACTCACTCTTCAGAGCCTGCAAGACCGGATGACTGATCAAACTAACATCAAACCACTGAGAAAATCTGGTGTGCCACCCATCTGACGTCTGAAACCAATTACACACTGACTTGATCTGAAATACAGACCTCTTTTTATAGTAAGGATGACAAAGAGTGAAGTGTGAATGTGAAGTGTACAAAATGTTCATTGTATTTTGTAATAGTGAAGGAGTTTACCTGGACCAATTGTGGCAGAAACACCTCTAATTCTTCATCGGGAATTTGTTCAAAGTAGTGAACTGCAGCCCTCCGCACAGTCTGATCATGAAAACTGACAAATATATATTATGTCAACAAACAAGAGGAAACCTGAATCGTGATCGCAGATATAATTTTAATTAAATGTTTTAATTCATTGTCCCTACACATTCAACCACATTCAATAGCATGAAAAGTACCATTACTAATAAGATTTATTAGTTACTGATTCAGACGTTTTTGGAGGTCTCACAGAGAGCATCACGCAGTTAATCATGAGTGTGTTTAAATTGTCACCTAGTCCAAGTACTTGAGTAGTTTGTTTAAAAACAAGCTTAAGAGGTATATGAACACAAATATGATTGTTGAGCGTGGCCAGCAAAGAGTGCACCTTCTCTGAGAACTCATTTTCAGTGAGCTGCTTATGCTATAAAAAAATATTTAAAGTTTTTTTTTTGCCTTTGTTGGACAGACTAAGAGTGAAGAGGCAGACGGGATAGAGCGAGAGAAAGGAGCATAACATGCATCCAAGGATCAAACCGGCAAAGTTTTGTTGGTCCTTGCACTTTGCATAATGACTGTGTCCGTAAGTGTAACCTACTTGTCACTGAGCAGGAAGAGGGCCTCCTCAGGTAGATGGATGAGCCAGTTCTCTACAACAGTATAGATTTCTGTCAGGTCTTCAGGCTGCCACCGGGGGGCTCCACCCAGCAGCAGGTGGAGGAAAGTGCTTCCTTTGTCACTGGAGTATCGCTTACTCCAGAGGAAAGCCTTCTCATTTTCTGTTAGACTGGGGAAAGAGAGGACAGAGAGGAATGTTTTTAAGGATACAGAAAGCAAGAAAAAAAAAACAAGGGAACAGTCTCCCAATCTTCCTTTAGAAATGAAAAACTCTGAATGCAGCACATTCACATGAACAGTAGTTCCTAATATAACGTGTGTTTTCTTCTACTCACAAGCAAAGGCAGTGCTTCTTAGAGACGTCCAACATTTTCTTTTGTAATTCCTCACAAGGCTGAGTAAATATGATTGAACCGGGGAGCGCACAGGGCCTTACACACTTCCACTCAACCTGATCCTGAAACTGGAGCTGGGGAGGGATTGGAGGATAATGATTGAGCAAGAAATGAGGTGTCATTTGTGTTTTGGTCAATGGGGGGCAGAGTTGTCCAGTGCTACTGACCTGCAGTATGACCCCAATGGCTTGTGTGTGGCTGTCAAACAAGGCAGGGGAGGGAGGAGCAGGCAGCTCAGCTAGTGTGGACATACTGAGCAGAACAATCCCCGTCACCAGAGTCCTAGACACACAAAGTACACATACCATATGTCACTAATTACACCATTGTGCCTTCCTGAGCTCAGGAAATGGCCAAAAAGTATTGTACTGGAATAGAAAAATAGAATATATAGTAGGAGTGATAACAACAATCTTTATTTACATGGATATAGCGCTTAGTAGAAATGGATATACTAAATAAAACCTTAAAACACATAAGACATTTGAGTGAGTGAGCTAGCAAGAAAATAACAAGCACCAAAATGTTATTTAAAAGCTGTTAATGACTCAGCAATTTTTAAGGCAGTATAAAACTGTCATCTTTAGTTCAGACCTGTCTCTCGGCCCATATGGGCAGGTTTGACACTCGCGTAAAATAATGCTGAGCTCTCAGCCTGCCATCAGAAATTTTACTCCATCCACTGCCCCAGCCTCCTCTTGTATTAGCATTTAGTTGTGTTATGCATTTTAAGTATACAAAAAAAGTAAAGTATACAAAAACTTTACAAGATGGTGTAAACAACTTACAACCTACCCGTCACTGTACAGAGGTAGTACAGCCCAGCCTAAGAGCTCTGGGCTCTTGCCTCGTTTGGAGCCCTTGAGGCAAAATGTCAACATGCACTCATATGGCAGCTCATTTACTGGAACAGGAAAAACCATTCTAAAAAGCAAACACACATACAGTCAAGACACATGTTTCTTTTTTCTCTGCCATCACTTCATGTCATCTCTTAAATGTTTTTCTTAACTAAAAACCGCCTGGATCAGGTGGTCACTTAAAAGAGGTAAGAAATCTTCAAAATGATTCTGCAGAATCCACTTTCATTGCCTTCTCATTGACAATGCAATCATTGTGAGAACAAGGAAAGGGAAAGTTGAAAGTAATAAAAGAAGATTCACACAAAGAGATTCTATAAAGATCTTGCCCTTACATGCGGTTACACTGGATCTTGTTTCCGTATGACAATGCAGTGCTGATGTTTTCAGAAATGCCAGTGTCACAGATCTTTCTTCCTCCATACGTCAACTCACAGGAAATAGAGAAGCACTCAAAACTAAAGATGAGGTAGAGGAAGAAAAAGCAATAAAACCCCGTGTTCTTTTGGGGGATGTGGTTAACATTTGTGTCTGTGCTCACGTGTTTTAAAATTAGAGTGTGTTTATAAATGCACACATACTTGGTCATCCAGCTGGGTGGTAGTTGATAGAGAGCAGAAATATTGAATTGGAGGATTTCAGTGTTCTTCTCAACATCATTGGTTTGCAGGTTGCTGGTTACCTCCTGACCTCTGAAGTCAGACTGGAAGTTGTCAAAAAACATCTGCAGCACTTTTAGTATCGCCCTGTGAAGCATCATCAAGGCTAGAATACAGAGAAAAAACATCAGTATAGACAATCAAAATGGTAATATACCAGATTGGTAGAACTTTACTTTAAGTCCCCCTATTTAGCATTCATAAGCAGTAACCAAACATTTAATAAATTGTTTATAACACATAATGTAGTTATGAGCATATATAAGGACAAATGTTTATATACAATACCTGTCACCAACTTGTCCTACAAAAACATTATTACAACTGTGTTTTACTGTTCATACACAAGCCTCCATTATAGTGTGTTATAAATCATTTTTTAAATCTTTATACTGCTTATACTGACTGGCACTAACTATGACACTAAAGTGAGAACTAGTGTACCACAACAGTCATTTTTGCATCTAGAAAATGCAGCTACTCTTTTTGTTTCGTTGTGGGAATTTTTAAGCGCACATAGTCGATATTTCACAAATCAGTTGGACACTCAAATAAAATGGCGGACAAATACAATGCACTGTATAGTAAATAGGGTGTGATTTCAGACAAAGCATGTGTCCGTTTACAGATGGCGTCCGTTTAATTGTATTGTAAATGTATTTTTCAACAGAGATAAAATTGCTGTGCCTGTTCTGAAAATGGTCAGGTAGCACTTCACCGCCTGCAGGTTCTTGCTGAACTGCATAATAGTTGTTGTTGATAAAACGTTGTTCTTGATTTCATACATTAGTTGGAACATACTTAAAAAATAAAAAAGGTCAGCGTTCCACTGTCATTTCTGCTTTTTCTTATTTCAACTCAACATTGTTTTTGTACCTCCAGTAAGCTGAAATTAATCATGTTGTTGTACAGTCACGTACAGTCATTTTAGATATGGAACATATGTGTCATCATACTTTCATTTTCACATTGGCAACCTGTTTTTCTGAACCATCCCTGGCCCGCTTCAGTCACAGTACAAGCTCACAGACAGCGTTCATAAGTCAGGCATAGTGTAGGGTCTTGTCTTACAAATCCACTCAATGGATGTCAGTTTGGCCTCTGAGTGGGACAATTACCAGCTCCCTTTCCATACAACAGGTAAGATTCACTAACATAGTACCACAACAATTACCAATATAGAACTACATTCACTTAGAATACTTACAATAACTGTACTGTTAACCGACAGAGAATTAAGAGATTTTAGCCTTATAAGACATTTTAATTCAGAAGTCTGTTTTTCATTTGATGATGTCACACCCGCAAAATTATAATTATAGCCATAATATTGAGATGTAGTGTATGTGTGTATGCTGTTTGTTATGACACTTTTTCCTTCCACAGTTGCAGTGGTGGAAGATCCTTTGCTTAATTAAAAGTAGCAATTCTTTAACAAGTACAGATGTGTGGAGCTACTCACCAGTTTCACAGTCAGACACCTCATCATGACTCTGCAAAAAAGATAATGAAACACAGCTTTGTATTGTTGATCAGTGGCACGAGGAGGTATTGTGTCACTGTCACAACACCTAGGATAGGATTACACTGCATAATAATACTGAACGTAGTACTTAATCAGAAGTAAAGTTTCCCAAATGTATGTAATATCATACCAGAGTTATGGGATTTATTCTGTTGAGCCTGCCAATTGTGTCCTCCAACTCCTGACATGAGAGCCCACACAGAAGATTGCTGATGGTGCGAACACAGTCCACAAGCACGTTAACGTTCATCCCAGACTACAGATACAAGACCAAAGTAAGAGAAATTTCAGATAGTCAGTTTAGGATACGTCACTCCTACTGATATATTTGAATTATCCTGAGGTGGTAAGCCCCACTTTATACATCTTTGCAAGTTAGACAAATGAATGAAGAATCAGAATCAAATCAAATAAGGCTGGATATGGTGTGAGATAAATACATGTTCCCACTTGTTATCCTGTCTTTACTGACCTTGTTTCTCATTAGCTCCATCACCTCTCTGTTGTAGGTATTGAGCACATCTTGCAGGCTCAACCTGAGAGAGGAGAAAAAGTTAAAAACACAGGAAACCACAAAGCAAAGCTACCTTCCCAAATGATCTCTGCAAACAGACACCAGTTGACACATGACCCACTGAGCAGTTGTGGTTCTTATCAAAACCATTTGTCCAAGATAATGTGGGATGCAGGAATGCTTGTCATCTTACTTGCAGGGGCTGAAGACACAGACAGGATGCATGAGCTGGTACAGTTGGCATGGGGCTTTGTCGTCCTCCTCCTCAGAGAAGAAACGTAGGTTGTCAATTTAATGTGTTTATTAAATGTGTGGTGTTTTAAATGGATGTAGAATCTTAAATGTACATAATGCATGTAGAAGCATTAACTGGCTTTTAGGACAATAAATCTAAGGACACATCAAGTTTACCTTTATACTATTTAATTTCTGCTGCCTCCTGCCATGACGTGAAGTGTAAACAGATCAAAGTCAAGAACTCAGGGTGGAGTAGTTTTTTTTTTACAGCTACAATAACTCTGATTATAATAATCTGGCCAGGTGTTTTGCAAAAAGCAACATTCCAGACAGGCCACCCCTTCTTGGTAAATAATCTATACTGTAGGCGGGAACAAAGAATGTGGTTGAACTGACTTACATTCCTAGCCAAACGGTGTTTGAGTTTGTTCACTTGGAGCAGTCGGAGGGGGACAACTAGATTAAGCTTGTAGTAGATTTGAATGGTCTCATGCATACCAAGCAGTTCTTCACTAAGGAGAGATGTGGGAAATTGCTTTTAGTGCACAAAATTAAAACAATGAATGTAGAAACACACCATGTTTGAAATGAACATAAAAGGCACCATAGCTCATAGACAAACCTTTATTTCTGGATTTGTGACTTACTTTTTGAGATACTCCTCAGAGTCGCACAGTTTTAAAACATAATTCCCGCTTGTGCCAGAAGTGAGGTCCAGCAGCTGGAAGATTTCATCAATCAGACTCTGCACTGTCCTGTTCACTGGAAAGAAAAGAAGATTAGAGTTCAGAGTCCAAACACTTCTGCCAACACATGCAGTGACTGAAGAATTAACTGAAGTGTCCTCAGATACAGTACAACATACAGTACAGTATAGTACAATTTTGAGGTACTAGTGCTGCTACTCTATGCTTGTACTCCACTACATGTAGTTACTAGTTACTCTGATTTTACACACAAACCATATGGTCAACTTATAACATATGATGCTTAATTAGGGCTGTACATATCGATTACTTTTCAAGTTGATTAATCTAATGATTATTTTTTCGATTAATCTAATGACTAATTTTGTTTATTCTAAAGAAAGAAAAGTTGTCTATTGCTCGATTAAAATACCAATTTATCCAAAATAAATATCAAACACATGTCTGATTAATAAATCTATATTTTATTCAATCATCCTGATGAAGTAGAATAATGACAATAGTAGCAAATCTTAAAATGAATCAAATTTCCACGTCACTGATGTGTTGTGATAATAACAATAACAGACATTAATTAGGCTACTTTACTTAAAACTTTAAATGTTTCTGACATGGATTCATTTCAATATTAAGTAATGCAGTATGATAATAAATGTATTTCTGCATCAGTGAACACCTGAAAGGACTCACCGACTGTCCAGACAGTCAGATTGTCTGTAATTAGATTCAGCTGTTTTCTTGCTCTTACGTGGCCGTTAAATAAACAGAAAATATGAAACAGCCGATCGTTACATGACTCTTTGTGTAACGTTACGTTACCATGACAGCAGCGGGGCAGAAATTACTCTTAACATGAAGACAATGAAGAAATACTACGTGCCCTAGTGCTGATAATGTGCCGTGTGAAGAAAGTAAACACGATTTGCGGTGCTGTCGTCTAGACAAAGTGCTACGGGATACTTTCGTTTCACGTGTTCGTGCTGTTTTACGTACTCGTGGACAGCAGTTGTGCTGCAGTGAAGCTGTTTCCAGTTTTGAGAGCTCACGGAGCAGCACATTGTTGAGTGTCTGTCTGAAATACTCCAAACTTTAGACGGTCGAAGGTGCGGTCTTGTAGCTGGAGCTTGTCCGGGAGAATCCCACACCGTATGCAGCGTATTTACGTAATCGACGCAATCATTATCAACATCATCATCATCATTTTAGGGGGGGGACATCAAATGATATAAAAAAAGACAGACATCTCAATAAAATTTCGCACGAGGCTAAAATCTCTTGATTCTCTGCAGGTAAAAATTATTAACACAATTATTGTAAATATTGTAAGTGACTTGGTACTATGTTGTTCACTTTTGCGGTATGTTGGTTCACCTTACCTGTGGTGGGCAAAGGGACATGGTTGTTGTCCCACTCAATGGCCACACTGACATCCACCTCCACCTGCTGCAGTAGGGCAGGGTGAATTTGTAACAATTGACCCCATACAACTCCTGAGTTATGAGCGCTGTCTGTGTGCTTGTACCGTGACATGAGCCTGCCAGAGACATTAAAGAAAAACAGGTTGCCAATGTGAAAATGAAAGCATGATCACAAATATGTTTTATACTTAAACTTTATATGAGCAGCAACATGATTCACTGTTGTATTTTATTTCTTTATATTTTTTAACCCACCTTATGATTTCTTACCTACCTCGTACTTGTTGACCTATCTCATGCATGTTTTTTGTTTTTGTCTAAGTTGTGTATGTCTTGTAACTCTGATTTTAGTTTCTTTTATTTAAAAAAAAAAACGCTACTACTGCAACACTGGAATTTCCCTTTGAGGATGAATAAAAGTACCTACCTAGATGGGTAGGTACATCTATCCTATCATATTTATTTCAGCTTACTGAAGGTACAAAACAATGTTGAGTTGAAAGAACAAAAGCATTTTTGTCCATCACATTGTATTGAGCATTTTGGAACATACATACATACATACATACACACACACACACACACACACACACACACACTTTAAGAAACTACAACTGTCGGGAATCCAGTAACAAAAAACTACACTTATTAATACTATGATATATAGAACATTTAAATTGTAGCTCTAACTATTTTCCTTTTATGTAAAATCCATCACATACAGAGTCTCCATTACATGGCAAAATAATCATTTTGAAAAATCAACTACTGTAAGTTAAATGTAGCTAGTCTATGTAGCTAGTAAATTTAGCACTTACTTGGAAGTTGCATCACAAAAAGAAGCCAGCCTCTTGGTGCTGCCTTGTGGAGTGTCTATTAGTTTGATGGCCCATGGTTCCTGATAAAAAAAAAAAAAAAAAGACAAAATCAAACACATTTACTCAGATTTTTCCCTTTCATCTGGGTCATTTAATTCATACATGATCTTGTTGTCTTTGCTTAGGGAGAAACTAGAGATACTCACATGATTGTGTATTTCTGTCCTGGAACGATTCAGTTTGTAAGTGGGCTCAGCGAGGTCACAGGAAAACGTCATTTTGCTGTTTCTGACGGGTACGTGTGTCCTGGGGGGAACAGGAGGGGGTTCCTGCCTCTGCCTTGCTGGCAAACATGCACTAGGAAGCCTGGTTCTGGGTGCAGGATGAGGGCCACGGACTGGGGAAGGCCCATTTAGGATTTGGGGGTCTATGTTCTGAGGGCCTTCTCCTCCATGACTTGAGAGATGGCCTGGAGGTCGGAGTTGGGATTCACTTGGGGGTATGAGCCCAGCCCAAGTGACCTCATACAAGTGTGTCTCACTATCTTTAAGATAATCAGTAAGGTACATTCCATGAAGATCCTCACTAAGAGGCATGGGGAGGTCAGTGGCGCTTGCATCTTGTCTCTGGATTGTTCCACGTTGGCTTTGAGGAAATTCCATCACATTCTAGGAAGTTGTACAAGTCCTCCTAGATGCTGTATCTCAGCATGTCCTCACTTCATATCATGAAATAATGCAGAACTATGTAGTATCATGACAAAAAAAAAGAAGTAAAATCAGGATTAGGAAGTAATTACATTGGTGTATGAGACTTACTGCAGACAGTACAAGTAAGCTGTTTTATGACTGGAGTCTAACTGAACCTCAGGGTTTACGTTGGTCTAATAATTAACAAGCTTTCAAATCTTAACAGGAAATCTACGGTGCGCGCCACTATATCTGCTTTGGCACCCTTGTTAAAGTCAAACATGAGATGTGTCTTCATTACCACCAGTACCATCATTACATTATACCTTGAAGCTTTAATTTTCAAGTGTTTAACCTGGAGGTAAATAAAATTTTTAATTCACATTACCAAGGATCTCACATTTTCTATATGTATTTTCACAGTTGAAAATTTTAGAAAAGCTCCAAATACAAACTTAATCTTATAGCAAAGTATTCAGAGCTTTTTTAAAAATTGGCAACTTACCCTCAAAGCTCCCATCCTGTGTCGACGAGGTGACTCCTTGACTGAAGCCATCCACAACGCATTAGATTTGTACAAGATCTGGAAGGCTTCCCATGTGTGTTTCCTCAAACTTGCCACTGTCCCTCCCTTCCTCCCCCTCACACAGCCCACAACAACACTCCCTCTGCTGGAGAAAAGAGAACATTACAAATGACTTTGGTTATAGAGATAAATTCAACATCAAATTTACAAAAAAATCCAGAAACTTTTAAAGTTATTTCTTAATGGTTTCTGACCCTTACCAAAGCAACTACTATAGTAATTACTCATACTACTGGAAACCTGTGGACTATGTCCACTCCTCACTGTGGAATGTCACAGCACAGGTTGAGGTATGAAAGCACTGTTTCTAATGTCAAATGAAATGAAAGCAGCAAGAAGGAAATGTGTGTTCATGTACTCTACATATGACACATAAGGTAAGGTACTTTTTTTAGCTGAGGAATGTTTTTGACTTAGAAAGAGTCCTTTGTACCATCACCAGCTTGCTAGTCAGTCCATTTGAAACACTCAGTCCTAAATACTGATTTATGGATTATAAATCTCTTGTTTGATGTGTTTGACGCTCTACTGCAAAAACAACCAGTCTTTCTGGAGTTGGAGCCTTTTAGTGGGAATGACAGCAACTGCACTCTACCGAATGTTTCACAAATGTGTCAAGTGAGGTGAACGGAGCAGAAGGGTATATGAGGGAGAAGATCAAGCAGAAAGAAATGCAATTCAACCACACAACTGCCCACATTTCACCTCTAAACCCCAAACCTGGATATTCTGGTTACTATGCACTCATCCCCTCCATACTGCTCATGCTGATTGGATGTGCAGTGGCAATGGTAAGAATAGTTCTGCATAGTTAAATTCACATTATAGGTTTGTATTTTAAGTTTTTATTGTTGTGCTTCTCTTCAGGTTTTTTATATCAAGAGGAGATCAAGGTAAGCTGGTGTCTGTAGTTTAAGCTGTAGTCAATTTGGTATCTTTTATGTTCCGTCACAAGTTGATTTCTATTTTGTGTTTTATTTTGTGTGTTATGTTTTGCTTCAGATCAAACGAGCTGCGCCACAGGCTGATTCCTCTGTACAGCTACGACCCAGCAGAGGAACAAGACAACTGGTGGGATGCCGGCAAGGAGAATGAGGAGGAGGAGTTGGCTGTGAGAAAACCACTAAAACTTTACTTTACTTATATCATGATATACCTCTATTTTCTGTTGTATACATGGGTGAAAATTTTATCTCATCCACAAATTGTTTTTTCTTTACAGGAACCTTTGCACAAGAAGGGAAAGCTATCCTTTTTCAATAGCTATGGAATATGAACAAAGAAGAAAAGAAGAATGTGCCCAGTTGAAGGAAGATGTCTTCTTTTATATTTTGTATTGGATACTATGCTAGCCATGCTATACAACAACAACAACAAAAAAAACATTAAGTGTAAAACCAACATCTGTGTGACATTTAACAGCTACCAGCTCCTCATCAAATAATTATATTCAAATTTAATATTTCTGTACTAAAAGACTGTTCTGTAAGTGTTTTGAAGAATAAGGCAGTATACTATTTTTGGGCAATGCTCAGAAAGCTAAAATTGTTATTCTCTAAAATTATTTATGAATTAAACTGAAAAAGCTTAAAAGACACACCTGTTTCTGTTTAGTAATCAGAGGGTTTGCAGGTTGAAGATGGGATCACAAGGAGGGAGCAGGTGAACAACTCACCAACACAAACAACTGATACCCATAAAACACCTAACTGCTGAATGTGACTAATTACATGAAATACTTTTTCAGTCTTTACCATTGCTGTTTAACTCTGTGTGTGTGGATTTACATTAGACTGGACGTTCATCTGTTGGGGCCCCAATGGTTCCTGATGTCCATCTTGTTAACCACAGCTCTGGTCCTCCCTGCTCTGAGCCTGGACAGCCTGCTGTGTTACTACTGTCCTCTACAGCGCAGAGACAAATCCTGCCACAACATCACAAGCGAGTGTCTGCCTAATCAGCGCTGTTCCAGCTCCAGAGGTCACTATGGCTCTCTCCACATCCTGTCTGCTCAGGGCTGTGTGGACACTGAACTCTGTGGCTCCCATGAAACTATCTCTTATCGGGGGGTTAAATACACCGTCAACCACACCTGCTGCTGCAAAGACAAATGTAACAGCCCGCCAAAGTCTAACACCAACCTGAAGATGTTATTGGGGATGACAAAAGGCAAAAAAGATAACCCTATCATCACTAATGTCCTTATGGAGGAGCCTTTGGATTCATGTGCAAATTACACATCATCAAGGAGCTCCACATTATCTGTCACTGCATCATAGAAATACTTGTAGAAGGCTGGGGAGAGGTCTGTTAGCCATAGGCACTTAACCCAAGTCCAAAACGCAAGTAACATTTGGTCAAATGTTTACATGTTTGTGTATGTGTTTTGCTAAATGAACATGTAAATAAGAAAAATGGCATCAAGGTCAGTGTTTAGTGTGATTTACATTTTTGTTCCAGAGAGGAAAAGGTGGACTTATCAGCCATGCTCCTGGATTAATAGAGGAAATGTTGACATTATTCGTGTGGTTACTGATGAATGCAGCAAAATAAACGCACCGTATTTAAGCTCCATCTTGGTGTAGTTGCTCTGTGAAGAGTTTACAAGCAGGTGTGCTGGAAGGCGTGGCCTGTGCAAGAAGATCTGGAGTCAGTAGTGGGATTTGTGTTCATAAGAAGAGGCTCTGAAAAGTTATTCCTGTTAGACTAGTGTTAAAATCTTTAAAATGAGCAGGTGAGTCTTCCTTAAGCTGTGTTTTTCAAAGTTGAAATGTTTCTGTGATCACTCACTACCTTCAGTCTTGAGCATTTTGAATGTAATGATCAGTAGAAATCATTGTCACCTGTGTATAAGACTCAAGGCTAAGCAATTTCAGTTAACTTGTTGAATTTCTTTGGTTTCACTGATGGTCTTTTAAATAAGAAAATCATGAAAAAGGGATGACAAGCATTCAAGCTGACACCGATTTACTTGTCAACCACATGCTACAGAGCCTATGAAAACCATTGCATTACATCCATTGTGACTTTGTCAAGTCTAGATAATTACTCAAAATGATGTGGCTTAATATTGCCTTGACACTAACGTTTAGCAGGAAGTCCATGTAACAAATGGGGGAACTGAAAATTGAAAATTTGGGCACTTTTTTTCTGGGCAAGTTTTTTTTTTTTTTTTTTCATTAAGTACTCTAACTTTATGGAAATGCAGTACTGCTGATATTGGTTCATGAAAGTAAATTTCCAAATGCTTGTCTTCAACTTGCAGGCTGAATATGTTGCAGCTCCTGCGTCTTGCTGTATTATGGTTTTACCTCCTCCTCCCCTCACTGCTTTGTGACAACCTGCTTTGCTACTACAGCCCCATCCTGGAGAAGGAGAAGACATTTGAGCTTATTGTGACCGAATGTCCTCCTGACGAGGTGTGCTTCAAGGCAGATGGTCAGTATGGCAACCACAGCGCCCTGTCTGCAAGGGGCTGCATGTCGACAAGGGAATGTAGCCAGGTGCACAGGATCCGCCTCAAAGGAACTGTCTACACAATGACCTACTCCTGCTGTGATTCGCCATACTGTAACTCTGGCCTGTGCATCACAGCCAAATCCTTCTACATCATAACACTTGTGACTGTAGCTGTGATGACGGGCAGCTTGTGACGAGAGACTCCCGGATGGGCTATGTTAGGAGCAGATTTAGGGGTTCATGTCAAGGGGGAAGATGTTTAAATGGTTCTACAACAAGTGAGCAGTGATCTGGCATCTCTACAGCCTCAGCATGGAGTAATGCAGAGAACCTGCAGAGTTAGGTGGTGAATGGCCAGTCTGAAGACACTGAGCTCTACACCAAAGTGATGGCAGATACGTCCACATTTATTACAGTATCTTGGTAACAAAAACCTGTGTTTTATACTATTTAATATAAATAAATTATTGGAACAATTTCATGCTCTTTTGAATAGTCTGTTACACACACACACTAGGGAATACTGGCAATATTGTTTTTCTTGTCTTATTGTTTCCATATCTTGATAGAACTTATTCAGTTGTGCCATAGAGTTCCATTATTGTTAAAAACCACAGAGGGAAGAAAGTTGGGAAATAATGCGAGATGGACTAATTTATTATTGTGATTTGACAATGAAAGCAGACAAATGTCAAAGAACGGGAGTAGCTCAAGCAATGTGCACAGTTTGAGGTTTGGACAGTTCTTTATTTCCCTTTTATAAGGCTGCTGGGTCTCCCCATAGTGGATATACATAAATATACAGGAGATTGCTATACTGGAGTTACACTGAGGGCAGAGGGTCCATATTACACAGACTTCAAAAAACAACACTAAAAGAGCCTCACCTCCAGGTATCAGAATTCAGCAGAGAGAAAGAGAGGAATGAGAAGAGGGAAACAGCACAAGAGAAGGGGGAAGAGCAGGGGAGATGACGCAGTCTGAGAGCCTGACTCGACTGCCTAATAACTTAACACTAGAAAATAACATACAGATTTCACGCACAGTGCATCTTAAATAGGTTACGTGAAGAACCATTTACCATAAATATCTGTATTTTCGGGAACCAACATATATAAAAAATTATTTAAAAAAAACAAATCATTGTTCAGTCCTTAATTTTTTTCTTATTTTCTCCTTTTCCTGTCGTGCAAATCGCTCTTTCTTCCCGTCTTCCTGTGGAGGCCGGGCTTTTCCTGCCCTGCCCACGTCCATTCCAGATAAACAAGGAAAAGGAAACAGAACCCAGCACCCCTTCCCTCCCCCCCTTAAAAGCATATGAATTAGTAGAAAACGAACAAACAAATGAACAGAACACCACAGTCAACTCATCACAAAAAGAACCCACAGACACACAGAACAGCAAGAACACAGTACTTCTTTTTTTTCTATTTTTTTTTTTAGCTTCTTCATCACCGTTATTCCTCTTAATGGTCAGTATCGTCGTGGTCTTTCTCCTGGCGTACTGGTTGGCGGCACTGGAGTTTGTCCTCCCCCCGGCGGCTCAGTGGAACTGGGAGGCAACTCTCCAATCGGCTGGTCAGTTCAGCAGTGATATATTATCTCTCAATTTCACAGTGTGGTAGGAAAAGGAGGATGAGTAGAGGGAGGGGGAGTGACAGGGAGGTAAGCCAGATGGAGGTGGGAACAGGAATCAGAGGAACCACAGCAACAATTAGAAAACAACTAGAAACCCAGACCGTCCATGAAAAAAAAGCAAACAAAATGGCCGCTTCACTCCTTTCTTCTGAGTTTCATTCCCCGCCGACCCATGTGGTATGGAAGGCCTTGATTGGCTGGCGTGAACTGATCGGATGGCCTGTGTTTGTGCCAGAAGGTAGGGAGAGATGGGTGAGGGAAGTCCAAGGCTGACTGGAATCTACTGGTGGATGGGACTCGACATGGCGATATGTTGTCAGGAGAAACAGGATGAGCATGGCGGGTTGATGTGTGATTGGCAGGTCAGACGGCGAATCCCTTCTTGGTGGGTTCAGGCACGCTGTTGCAGTGCCCGCCTCTTGCGGCTGTAGTAGTGACGCGTGCCGGTCTGTCTGGCAAAGTTCATCATGTAGTTTTGTTTACGGGTGCTGCGGGAATACAAACACAGTGAAAGAGGGAGGGAAAGAGGTGGAGTGTGAACATTAGTAAGCGAGTAAAGGGCACAAAACATCCATTCCCATGCACACACTCTCACCCATGCACGCAAACACAAAAATGGTCAAATACAGCTTTCGTACTCACTCACATTTAGTTTCATGCTGCCGTTTTTATTAATGTTTCAGCCATAACCTCAAACACTCAACAGTTGTATGGGTCGCATGGCTTGGAGAATGGGTGGCACTACTCTACGCAACTGGATTTGTTTTACGTTCTGGACAAATGAGAGGCAGCTAGACGGTGAACATGGTACGGTATAACTAGCTACATGTATTCAAGACCAAATGTCACAGAACAAGACATGGGACACAGAGTCTACAAACATACTACCACAGATACTAGAGGGAAACTCTGACACTGAGTGTTTGAGGTCAGAGTCAACAGCCATCACTGGGAGTAAAGAAAAAGAAATAAACCAAAATCATAAAAGTGCAGGGTTGTGAGCGGAGAAGGGGTGGTTTTGAAACTAAGAGACACAGAGAAAAGCTGCGGAAGATCGCTCTTGCTTAGCCTGTTCATTGCCTCTTCCATCCAGCAGGGCGTTGCCAGTGAGCCAGGAGTGCAGCCAGGGCAGGCAGGGGCCTCTGCGAAGCGGGGTGGGGGATCAGGAGGGGTGGGAGAGGGTAGGGGATGGTGCGTGTGTGTGTGCGTGTGTGTGTGTGATGGTTGATCGTGAAGTGTGAAGGTGGATGGGAGGGATGGCTGGTAAACTGCATGTGTTTGAGAGTGTATGTTCACACTCGTTTTTTCTGATTCCTGGCCAGAAACCAGAAGGTAGTGAGGAGGGTGGCTCCTGGCTCAGAGTCATGATGTTGTTGTCCAGAGACAGACAGACAGCCAGTGAAAAAGGGATGGAGAGCTGTTACAACAGTCGATCTTTAAAGCCATGCATGGAGCTGGATGGAGGAGGTTAGTCAGATGAAAACTCTCTCGCCAAAGGGGCCTTTACTTGAAATTAATGATGCGAAATGCCCTGCATTGCAACTGATATTGGTATAAGAGTTTAAAAAAAGACTTTTGATGCTTGGGCTTGAACGAAATAAATGCTGAACCCACAAGCAGTCATCTTTTTCATGTAGGATCAGTGAATTGTGCATCCTAGCTTATAAATTGCAGTCAATAACAATACAACAGCTTGCAGTAGACTCAGTAGCAAGAACAATACAAACATATATAGGTATAGTGATGGATTACATCACACATACACACAAACACATTACCATTGACATCTATATATGTAGATTATTACATTAAAAATGCCTCAAGAATTGTGTGAACTGCAAATTCAAAATCAAAGCCATGTAACAGAAAGTTGTTTTTATATGGTGATATTGTGTTGAACCCTTCTAGAGGACGCATGTCATTTCAAAATTGTAAAATTAAAAAATTGCCACCATTTAGGATTTTACTGCTGTGTTTTCCCCTCCACTGTGTTGTTGTTGTTGTGAATAGTGTGTTGTGTTGTGAGAGCTGTCTCTTAAGATCTGTCAGTCTCCACCTGGACACTGAGCGGCTGGCCTGCTTGTTGACCTGCCTGGGGCTTGAGTTATGGCGAGGACATGAATATGACTGTGGCGATGATGAGGAAGGCTGGGTGTGTCAGTGAAACTGAGGGAGGGTGTGCACAGTGTCTCAGGGAAAAGAAAGGGTCGGGAGGAGGATGAGGGAGGGGGCTGCATTCAGGAAGAGGCGGAGGACTTACCTGACACTACAGCCATGCCAGAGGGAGCAGAATACAGAAGAGAGCAGAGGTTAGAGCGCGAGAGGGGAGAAGCAGGAGAAGGGAACTGCTGTCTCGCAGAAAGGTCTGGGGGGGTAGGAGCCCCGGTCTGGGGAGGCAGGGGCCCAAAGCGGGGAGAAGGGAGGAGAGAGGAGAGGCATAAAGATAGTAAGAGGTTCAAGCAGGAAGAAATGATAGAGAGTGGAAAAGACAGAGAGAATGAATAAAGATTATAAAAGAAGAATGGGGAGCAGAAGAGTAGTTGGTAGAGATTTAGTAAGGAGAAAGCAGAGAAATGTAACATGAAGGGAAAGTGAGAGACAACCACAGGTAGAGGTGAAGGCAGAGAGCAAGATATCCAGAAGTCATCCATCCGTTGTTTGCCAGAATGGGAAGAGAAAAAGGTAAAGAGCAAGTATTGAGGAAGGAGAGGAGGAGGAGGAGGAAGAAGTAAGGTAGGATACAATGCGGCA